ACACAGAGCATTAATTATCCGTCTAATATTTATTCTTACCAGAGCTCAAAGTTTGTAATGATGAGGCCATCCGGACCCTAAATATAAAAAGTATTGATTTATTTTGACAAAGAATGACTCTCACAAAATGACTTCTTGATGTTAGAGTTGTAAAATCTTGCTGGTTATGATATTTTTTATTCCAACTGTTTCAGCTTGAACGGCAGTAATTCATTAGAGGTTATGTTAAGCTTTGGCTCCAAAACATGTGTTATGTCTAAAACTGTGTACTAACTGTAAATATAGTGTCGCAAAAAATGTATACACATTTTAAATAATTGCACACTTGGTGTTAATCATAATTTTATTATTTCAAAAGTATAACAATAAGTACAAGTATCATTTTATTGTTTTTTACTGCATTTTGGCTATAGCAACAGTGACTGAATTGAGAGAAGCCATTGAACATGAGTGCACTTGAATACCAAAGAAAATGTTTCGTGGTGTGTGCGATTCTATTGCTGCGCGTTGTCAGCAGTGTCATGATCAAAATGGACGTCATTTTGAGAACATTCAGTGAAAAAAAATACTTTTAAATATTTTTATTTTTTCTGATAATAAAATTTATGATGTACATTAATAATACAATTACGTAAAATGTGTCTGCATTTTATGGGGGCAGCCTGTTTACACTGGTTACCAGGAATCTCGGCAATCGAATGATCGCACACCCTCTCCTTGGAATACTAGTCCATTTGGACAAAACTAAAAAGACTTAATCACTAAGTCTACAAATGCTGACCGTATACGGACAACTTAACCTTCGAAATGCAACTGACGAGCCGCTCGTAGATTTGATCCATGAGGTACCTAGCCACCAGTAGGTTCTTATATTTGGACTTTTAATGCAGTTGCATCTCAAAACAACGTACCGTGGTGTACCAAGAACGCCTTTGGCTTACAAACCTTCAACTTTTATGGTTCCACCGCTTAGAGAAGGGACGGTGTGTATAGTTTAATCTTTTAAACATCCAAACCCTTAATCCTCTTCCTATTCTACAGCAGCTTGAACACTCTCGACGTGCCAGTAACTGCGACGAATTTTTACTCCTTCCTCTGGCATGCACATTTAGGTATTGCCAGTTCTTTTTGGTAAACACCATAGCAACAGGGAAAACCTTGCCCATTAATACAAAAATTCAACGAATCTCTGTTTTGCTTGAGAGAAATATAACGATTCTTCTACCTTCAGAACACACTTTAAGGAATTTTGGATTCGAACTCGTTTGAATCCGTCTTCCGGCCTGATGAGGTTCGCGGTCTCTGTGACCCGTGTCACGTATCATTTTGAGGCCAGCCTGTAACCTGTGAATTCTTCAGCCGACAAAGAGCACCAGTTCGTCAATATACTCTTTTCTGGTGCAGAAACCCGGTTCCATAATATTTAAAGAAGACTGGAAATCATGTGCACTTGTGCCAACCTTCCTCTATTCGATACTGCTATCCTTCCGCGGGCTGCAGTGTTTACTCCTACAAAATGTTAGTGACTGACAACCACCACGAATAATACCACTTTTTTTGGAAAGTTTCCTCACAGCTAGCTCAATGCCCACTATATAATTTTTTGGCATTGTCTTCAAACGGAGGATTAAGACATTCGTTTATTTAATAGACTAAAGAATCTATCGTTTGACGGCATGCCGACTCCTTTCAGCTGCAAGCTAATAGGCATCACACTCGACCTCACTCTAGCACAAAATGTTTAACAACTAATGAGACTTAGAGCTAGAGACTCCATTGCTTGGGCGTAGTTTTTACGAAATGGTTCTCTTGCATTTCTGAAGTGTACTCACGAGCAGTTCTAGAGCACTTCTTCCATTGGATTATGTTTTCTATTCTCATGACCAGAACAGCAAGGAAGGCCACATTAATATAGGGCCCTCCAGTTTATTAAAAAAACTACATTTCGATCAAATGTGAACGTCACACCTCAGCCGAAAGCAAAATAATTACTCAAAACTATAAAATTCTCGAATACGTTGAAAGATGTAGCCAAATTGTGCGCAGAAGTTAGAATGGGTTGATAGCTTGAACTAAAACGCAATCAAATCTCAGATGTGATCGTTAATAATCTTCAATCAACAGCGGAATTCGCGTTCCGGTAAAGGTTCATTAGTACAGGTTGGGCTATACTCTGGTTAAATCGAAAACATTCATTAATGCGTGACAGGAGAACCTGCGCATTTGAGGTGCAGAGTAACTTCCGTGCGTTTTTTGGATTTTCATTTTTATCTTGAGACCCAAGGTCTAACCGTTTGAACCGAAATGGTTCTATTCACTTTCACTGAGGAATAAATAGTAAGCAAAATTTTTGGGCATCAACCGGGAGAAACTGAAAAATAAATTCTCCTTGATTCGCCCCTAATAAATATGCCCCTCCTGACTGCTGGGCAAAACTGAAACGTATGGGGCCATGGCCAAGTCCAATAGATCTTTCGACTTTTGTGTTTTAACCAAGTGACGGTAAATACTTTCATTAGTACAGTGCATTTTAGCGTATATGTTTTCATTGTCTAGGGGAAGCTATCGAGAGAGCCGCCGAGCAAACGGTTATGCGCCATTTGTTTTCAGGAGAGGATTATGAACAGGACCAGTTGTTGAAATCCCAGTCACTAGATCCGTCGTTTAGATGATCTAAGGAGAGGACTGCTAGGATTTTAATGGGTGGGCCAAACCTTAGCGACCTTTTTGTTTGAGTATTTCATACAAGTCGGCTTAGCGAGATTTGCGTTCTCAGTCCAGGTTACTCGAAGCCAGGGACAAAAAATCATTCTTGATACCATTTCATACAGTAGGTAACCTAAATCCTGCGAAGTAGTGATTGAAAGTCACGTTGGTAGTTACGAGGACAACTGCTTTCGATATTTCGATCCGTTGAGCTGAATTTATGCTGAGAAAAGCCCTCATATCTTTACCTTCAAGGAAAGCAGGCAGGATTTTGACCAAGTCATAGGCTGCCGGGTATCCAAGAAAATTTCCATGCTGCTTCACACCACAGCACAAAACCCTTCGGTTGTATACGTTGTACTATAAACCGACAGCAGTATAAGTCGGCAAATGTTTAAGTCAGTAGCTTATGGAAACGGAAGCCTGATATTTATTCAGTGAAAATCAAGTGAAAGCAAGTGCACTCACTCACATCCCTTAAGAAAAACATGACAGGAATTCAATATTACATGATTTCATGCATATCTGTGACGGTTGTTGCCAGAAAAACAGTACTACAATTGTTTGATGGTAGTCGCTTTGTCTTCATGATTTATAGCAGTTTCACACACCAAAGGAGAATCAACAAAATATTAATTTCTTGCACCTTTATTGGGTATGACTGTATTTAGAGGTCATATTCGCCTTTGACTTATAATAATAAACTACTTTTACATTCTCGGTAGCATACATTTCCTTTTTTGTTAAATTCCGCGAATATAAAGTTCAATTTCTATCATTAGTCATCAGTTACCTGGGAAGCAACAGTTTATGTTAATGGAGTTCCTTATATTTAGCTAATTAAAGCAATTATAGATGGTTTTAGTTTAATATTATTTGATAACTTTCAACACAAGTAAATATTTGTTTACGCCCGTTAATCAAGAATTAAATGTTTAACCACCAGTTTCGTAAGACATTTGGGCGGAGGAAATGGATATCCTGGCGGCCCTACAAGATAGTTTTGCCCTTTATTGTTCATCATTAATTTGTCCTTGTGTCTGACTTTCCCTCATGTTCGTCAGTCATAATTAGCCTTAAATTATGGACGTGTCATAGAGTCGGTTTCTTGATACGATGGTATTCTATATACAGAAATAAGTTCTTAGCCAACAAATTCTGCTCTCTGAATACACCCATGTTTTGTTTGTAAGATCGATCGTTTATCTAACACAGTTTCATGCACCATAAGGGATTTCGTATGAAGTTCGTGGTTTTGCCCCTGATAGGGTCCGAAATGTGCATGCCGCCATCG